GAGGATCAGGAGAACAGTCTATACAGACATCTTGGCAATATGGTAAAATTTTCAAAGATCTAAGTGTAGGAGAAATGTTATAACTTTGTGAGTAATTAGAATACTCATGTTTAGGTTTGTATGTTTAAAGTTGAATATTTTAGGGGGTCTGGATGGCTCAGTTGGTTAAAGCCTCTGCCTTCGGCTCAGGTCATGATCTCAGGGTCCTGGGATCGAGCCCCACGTCGGGCTTTCTGCTCAGTGGAGAGCCTGCTTCTCCCGCTGCCCCTCACCCAGCTGGTGCTCTCTCTTTCTCTCTCTCTGAAATAAATAAAATCTTTATAGTTGAGTATTTTATTCTCTGCGTTAAGCAAGTAATTTTTGTTATAAAATATGAAATAGTTATTTTTTTCTTCCTACTCTAAATTTTGGTCACTGATCCAAAAATTTATGATGGAAGACAGAAGAGTTATATTTAGTATCATAGATTCTCTCACTTTGCTGCAATTCAGATAAACGTTAATGAGAGACAGAACGAGAAGAAATTGGGTTCAAAGAAAAAGAGAGAAGGGAGAAATCAGGAAAATTAGTCAAAGGAAGCAGAGACAAAATAAGGGAAGTTACAAAAACAAAAGTTAAAAAGGTGAAAAGCTGTGGAAAAAGGGAACAGGGAAGTAAAAAGAGGGCAGGAAGTCAATGGAGGTCAGCTGGAAAAAAGAAAGAGACCCTGAACTTCGGGACAAACTCCCAAACCCCATCATCCTAGTAAACTGTTAATGAAATGCTTTCGTAAATGAACTTTCAACTCAGGGAACTTTGGCTTTATTGACGTTATAGTTGCTGGCGTGTTGAGTACTTCACAAAGTAAACAGGAACTAGTATTACTTGAATTTAAGTTCGGTCTGTTTTAACCTGCTCGCAGCATGCTAACATACACCCACATACATGCTCACATGCACTACCATGTAATTCCCTGGGACACACTTTGGAGCTGGCAGATCTTTTATTAGCTTCTGATTTTGTGGAGAGAGAAATTTGTAACTCACAGAGGCAATGTTTTATATGATTTAATAGTAATCCCTTCTGGGTCATTACCTGTGTGTGTTGATGGGTCTTCCAACTTTAGTGCCATGACAAATGATGCCATGTGGACAGGAAAATAGATATTTTTCCTGCAACACTCAGAGTGCCCAACGAATCTAGTTATAGGCCATGATACTTTTCTCTAACCTAGATATTTCCCAGTTTATTCTCACTACTTGTTTTTTTGAAAGCATCAATCAATCTTAAGCCAAAGTGAGTAGATAAAATTAAGAAGAAGTTCTTATAAAATAAACTAAAACCATGTCCAGAAATAAGGACTCTCCAAAGAACAGGATGGTGGTGGTGGGGATGGGTGTGGCCGGATGACTGAGAAGAGCCATTCCTTCTATAGATAGTACAAAAAGCAAACATGGAGGGATTGGAGTGGCTGACTCAGTCAGGGGGAAGAAATTGTAAGCTTAAGAGCTCTTATCTAAAAAACCCAAACCAAAGCAACCAACCAAAAACCTTCAAGACAAATCACTTGTGGTTACTAGGCATGGAGTGAAAAGTAAGAGCTGGAACAATGCTAGAGAAAGGGGTGAAAGGCAGTTTGCTTCCCCTGTCTAAAACCAGAAGACATACTTGGACTTCATGTGATCTGATAGCAGGTTAATAATATGGCATGAACTGGGGCGCCTGGGTGGCTCAGTGGGTTAAAGCCTCTGCCTTCGGCTAGGGTCATGATCCCGGGGTCCTGGGATCGAGCCCCACATGGGGCTCTCTGCTCAGCGGAGAGCCTGCTTCCCCCTCTCTCTCTGCCTGCCTCTCTGCCTACTTGTGATCTCTGTCTGTCAAATAAATAAATAAAATCTTTAAAAAATAATAATAATAATATGGCATGAACCTTCATATTGTCCCACTATGGGTCAACTTTAAGGACCAGTTTATTTACTTTGTGAAATAATTTCCAAATACATGTATTTTCCATATATATTCTTCGTGTGAAATGGGGCCGTTTGATTCTGACGAGTGCCTTCTGGAGGTGAAACATATGAGTTTAGAACTCCTCTCTATCCTCACCAAAACTAGAAACTGTCATAGAAAGCCTCTGCTTATTTCTTAGTTTGGTTCTGTTTATTGACACAGAGTCACCCAGCTCCCTTACTCCTGGCCTGTTCTTGTAGAACCAATGGCTGTGATACTGGCCTTGTTCCTTTCTCTGGAGGTGTTCTTGCTGTGTGCTCCTTTGCCTATCCCATATTGCTACATGGTCCATATCTAGCACGGCAGTGCCAGTGTGGACAGTTTGCATAGTAGAAAGAAGGATATTGTTCTCAGAAGAGCTGGAGGTAGAATTTGCATGTGAATCTGGCATCTGCCATGAATTAACTGTGTAGCTTAATCATTTAACTTCTCTAAGCCTAAATTCCCTTGTAAAATAAAAAACATGATACTTGCACAGTGATTATGAGAGTTGACCTATGGTAACATATGGAAAGCCCCTCCCCACAGAACGAAGACTTAAAAGAGTAGTATTCATATTTGCTGGGTTTATTATAGGAGAAGGCAGTTCTTGACCTAAATGCTGAAGACAGGGTTTTTGTTTTGTTTTTTAATCAAATCATGACACTTGCACTTCTAATTCTCTGACCAGGGAACCAGTTCCAATGTGTATAAATTACTATTTTAAGAAAATCAATAAATGATTTGAGGACTGTGCTCATAAATGTAATTACTTGTGGGAAGGTTCTTCATCATTTTTGGCTTCAGCATTCCTATTAGGAAAATGGATAATGAGATCTTTTCCCTATTTACTTCAAATTAAGTTCTAGACAAAAAAGTAAAACTTCTCTTCTGTAACAGAGAGAACTTTTTTTAAATATAAAGACAAACTTTAAAGATGGCTGTTTTCTTATGCTACATAGAGGGCTCCAGGGAAGGGCAGATGAATAGGCTACATTCTTAAATGAAAAATGGGAGGAGGGAGAGAAGAAAGGAAGAAGGTTGGTTCAAGCTACGATTCTCCTACTTGAGAGCTGTGTGATTTGGAAAATGTCAGTTAAACGAATTATCCATGTAACAAATGAATCTGATTCGAAAGACTTCAGTGTACTCAGCCTACACACTGTAGTCTTTCCTGAGATCTGAAGGGCTAACCCCACCATGTCAATGTTCCTCTGTCCTTAGTTTCTTTTTTTTTTTAAAGATTTATTTATTTATTTATTTATTTATTTATTTATTTGACAGACAGAGATCACAAGTAGGAAGAGAGGCAGGCAGAGAGAGAGGAGGAAGCAGGCTCCCTGGTGAGCAGAGAGCCTGACGTGGGCCTCGATCCCAGGACCATGGGATCATGACCTGAGCCGAAGGCAGAGGCTTTAACTCGCTGAGCCATCCAGGCGCCCCTGTCCTTAGTCTAATTCTCAACTTATTTCATGAAACTTTAACCACATAATCTTATTTCTTTATATTTTAAGTGAAATCAGTCAAACCAGTTGTCTTTCTAGGCAGACATATTTGTGCCTCAGCTGGAGTTAAAGTTAATTCCAACTTGTTTCCTAAGAAAGTCCCTAAAAGGCATTTTGCAGGACCGTTTTCCTTTTACCTGATTTTTTCTTTTTGCCCAATATTTTTAACCCTGCATGTTCACAGGTAGTGCTTTTCACCTTGTGCTAATTCACCATCACCCGCTCTGAAGCCAACCGCATGGATCGGCAGGCAAAGCAAAGCAGTAACTGGTGGATTATAACTAGCCCATGACTTCAATTTACAGTGTGCTCCTGAGACACTCACTTAAACTGAGCCAGCCTCTCTTTCTTCACCTGGAGATGTGGGCTGTAACCGGGTGTGATTACACACGCCTTGATGATAATTGCCTAATAATAACTAGGCTAAAAATTTCTAAATCATTTATTTAAACATGTCCTAAATGCAAAGTATAACATTGGTGATTAAAATTTATTAGAATTATCTATATGCTTAAGAATAAAAGGCTAGGGGCGCCTGGGTGGCTCAGTGGGTTAAAGCCTTTGCCTTCAGCTCAGGTCATGATCCCAGGGTCCTGGGATCAAGCCCTGCATCGGACTCTCTGCTCACCAGGGAGCCTGCTTCCTCCTCTCTCTCTGCCTGCTTCTCTGCCTACTTGTGATCTCTGTCTGTCAAATAAATAAATAAAATCTTAAAAAAAAAGAATAAAAGGCTAATTATATATACATACATGTATGTACACACATATCTAGATTCATATCTTAGGTATATACCTATATCCTTTTATTGATCTGTGTGTATGTGTGTGTGCATGCACATGTGCCCCTCAAGAAAAATATGTTATCTTCTTTGCATGGGTTTCAAGTTGATCATAAAAGTAGAAATTTATTCTTATTTAAGCCTTTTATCAGAAGAATTTATAAATTGTAGAGATTTAACTGTGAAAATAATTTACACCTTTGTATTTTCAGTTTTGGATACAAGAAAAACAAATGACCTCTTAGTTCCATTCATATATAAGTCACTGAATTATTGGGTCAGTTTGGTAGCAAATCATCTGACCTTCAGTACCTTCCTTGATCTGTCTTTAAAACACCACTTCTCTGAGTTACAGCTTGCTCTAAAGGTTAATGAATTCACACTCTCAAAGTACCTTGAGGTCTCCACATAATGGTACTATGTAAGTATTACAGTTTCTAAAAGGCATTTGAAATCTTTCTTTGTTCAAGGACATAAGAGCTCTTCTTTGGAGGCAGTCCTTAAATAGGTTTCCTAGCAATAGTGACATGATAATATGTTAATACCTAATCAGGAATAAAATGATCACATGCAATTAACACTAACATGTTCAAAACCAACTCATGCCATGATAGTTGGGTTTTCCCAATGTTCTAGAATGGATCTGTGGATAAAACATATTTGTTCATTGTTGAAAAAGTCAAAAGGGGTTATCTTGCCACCTGATCATTGTAAACGACATGATAAATAAAAAAGAAATGGATTCTTACCTATAAGCAATGTCGAACACAGGGCTACTTGAAGCATTTTATAGGCCATAATCCTGTTTTGGAAAGAAAAGATTTATTTATTTTAATTTACACCAAACTAAGCTTTAGGGCACCGCGACTGCTTTCCAGGAGCATGAAGCATTTGCTGTGTTACCTGGCTGCCTTGCGAGCTGAGATAAGTCAGAGAGGCCGTTGCTTAAGATGGATTTTTTTTTATATGACTCCTGCCTTTTTTACCCTTTGGACTTTTTGGGCTGACTCTTTACAAGCTGTTCTTATATGGGCATGTGTTTATTTACTAATTTTATCATCCATACAGGCTAATGTCATATAGTGAAAAAAAAAAAGGTGGAAAAACTGAATCACTCATACATGGCTGGTGGGAATATAAATGGTATAGTCACTTTGGAAAACAGTTTGACAGTTTCTTATAAATCTGAGCGTGCACTTACCATCCAACCCTGCAATTGCACCACTGGGCATTTGTCGCAGAGAAATGAAAACTTATGCTCCTACAAAAACTTCTACAAGCATGTTTCACAGCAGCCTTATTAGCTATAGGCAAGAAGTAGAAACAACCCAGCTGTCCTTTAACAGCTGAATGTTTAGCATATTGAAATATTGCAAGACCATGAATTATGATAACAATATGGTAAAAATTGCTGATAGACACAACAACTTAGAGGGATCTCAAGGGAATTAGGATGGGTAACCAGTGCCCAATGGTCAAATGTGCCACGATTTCACTTATGTAACCTTCTTGAAATGACAAAATGACAAATAGAAATGGGGTAAGATTAGTAGTTGCTAGAGATTAGGCATGGAAGGGGGAGAGGGATGTGCTTATATGGGGCCACATGAGGGACCCTTATTAGTGATAGAACTGTTTGGTATCCTGGCTGCAGTGGTGGTAGATGTGAACATAAATGTGATAAAATTGCATGGAACCAAATACAGATAATCCCAGACACATACACATGACAGATGAGTACACTTAAAACTGAGGCAATCTGAATAGGATTAGTAGATTGCATCAATGTCAATGTCACATTATAGCTTTGCATGATGATACCATTGAGGTTAACTGAGTGAATGGCACCCAGGCTCTCTCTCTATTATTTCTTACAGGTATGTGTGGTTCTACATATCTCAAAACAAAATGTTAAAGACAAAGGAATGTTTGGGGCTCCTGGGTGTCTCACTCAATGAAGTGCCTGCCTTGGATTGGGTCATGATCTCAGGGTCCTGGGATTGAGCCCTGCATTGGGCTCCCTACTAAGAAGAGTCTACTTCTCCCTCTCCCTCTGCCCTTCTCCCCTACCACTACTCATGCTCTCTCTCACTCTTGAGCACTCTTAAGTGCGCTCTCAAATTAAAAGAAAAGATCTTTTAAAAAAGACAAAAGAATGTTTAACCGCATTACAAAATGTGTTTCTGAACTAAAGTACACAATGAATAAAACCACGATACTTTTAAAATTTTGATTTTTTAAACAATTACCCTTTTCTGTGACATGATTAACAGTTAACTGAGGGGCGCCTGGGCGGCTCAGTGGGTTAAGCCTCTGCCTTCGGCTCCGGTTGTGATCCCAGGGTCTTGGGATCAAGCCCCGCATCGGGCTCTTTGCTCGGCGGGGAGCCTGCTTCCCCCTCTCTCTCTGCCTGCCTCTCTGCCTACTTGTGATCTCTGTCAAATGGATAAATAAGATCTTTAAAAAAACAAAAAAAAAAACCAGTTAACTAAATAAATTGTCTTATAATTTATTCTTAACAGCAAATCATACATCTGTTAGTCTCTTCAAAATTAGGCAATCTGAAACAAGCAGGTATAGAGGTATAAAAGGGGTAGAAAATAACTTTCTTATCTATCTTTGAATTGTAGAGAGTGTTTAGAAACCTGGATCCACCTAGTTGAGAGTTATGCCTCTAATTACTGATAGAAGGCTTGTGAAGAGAGAGATTTGGAAATCGGCATGATGAAATCTTGGCAGCCTATACCATGTATCCATCTATATGTCCAGCTGTTGCCACATTTCTGTGATTCTTCCTTGTTTTTTGCTCAGTGGAGAGGAAAAATATGTAATTACATGATAGACTAGACAAATTGCAAGGAAATTAAAAAAAAAAACTTTTTGTTACCTGAAGTACACTCGAACAAAGGAGAAATTCATCTTCGTCTCTTTTCTTCTCTCCATCATTCTTCAACTTCTGGACCTCAAGTGATGCTTGCCTGTAGTGGGGATGGGGGCAGGGTCACCGTCCATCTCTTTCATGCCACTCTTCTCACAAAATGGGATATTCATCTTGTGAAATGTAGAAATGTAGAATACAAGTAGAAATGTAGAACACAAGTATAAAATAATAATGGTTTTCCTGTGAATTTTATGTACATTATCTCATTTAATTCTTATGACTATTCATTGATGAAGGCAGCTTTATCATTTTACAGGTGTGTAAACTGAGGCTCAGAGAGATTTTATAACTTGTCCACGGAGCGCTCAGAAATTACAGGGTGAAACTTCGCAATGGAAATGGAGCGACTGCTGAGCTCAGAGGCATGAGCCAGTGAAATGAAACAAATTAGGTGACTGTGATCCCAGTTTGGTCAATAGGTGATGGTGGCTTGGACAGCTCAATTTTGCAGGGGTGGTATGTGTATAAGATAAGATCCTATATGGGCCAGAAAATGTCCTTCAAGGTGCACAAATCCTTCTCTGATCCCCCCAGATCAAATCTGGCTGCTCTTTCTCACATCTGCATACCTTTGGCCCTTAGGCCATGTCTTCCTGTATTATGCATGGTTTCATATGTGCATCTCACCTTTCCCAGTGGATTCTTTCTGAAGGCTGGTTGGTTCTGTGTCTTACTCCTATTCATATGCCTTCAATGCCTAGCAGAGTGCTTCTTGTATAATAGCCCTCAATAAACGTGATTGAACTTTGAATTGAAGTTGAATTGAGTCAACTGATTCAAATTAAATTCAACTATATTAAATTAAGAATCATTATTTTCCTGCACTAGTCTATCAGTATTTCAGCCTTATCCTACTAGCTGTAAAATGCAAGTATAATATAGCAGTTTGTTTTTATGTTGAAGCTTGGGTTTTAAATAGTATTTCCCCGAGCTTGTCTCTTCTTACCATCTATAAGAGAAAAAAGTTGGGTGCATGAAAATTTACAGTCTTTAATTATAGAGACATAAGACACTATAATTATAAAGACAAAAAAATGTTCTTTGAAACTAAACTGGAATATCTATCTTTGAAAAATACAAAGATCAAGTGGCATAAATTAATGAAGGTCATCAATGGAGTCTGTTTACAACTTCGATGATTTATACTTAGAAATTATTCTTTTAATATGATATGATGGACCTTGATAAGCTCCCATGGTCTCTTTCATATCAATGAAATATAAATGTTAAAAAATATGAGATCAGATCCAATATTATAAAAAAAATTTAAAGAAGAAACAATAAAACTTTATTTTACCAAGGAGCATACTGAACTTAGTTTCTGCTTTGTCATGCCAGCAATGTAGTCAGACCCAGTAAACTGCAAAGCTCTGGCAAATCCAGTGTTCATTTATAAAATTCTGATAAGAAGTGATGAAGGCCATGCTGGAGTCTGGAGTCGTTTAATGACATCATCAGCATCAATAAAAGGTGAAGAGTCAGCCAGCATGTTGGAGGAGAGGATATTAACCCTTATAAACATCGTACTAAACTTTCAACTGCATTCAACCTATTGAAAATTAGCTGGTTCAGATGCCTGGGAGGCTCAGTCGGTTAAGCATCTGCCTTTAGCTCAGGTCATGATCCCAGAGTCCTGGGATTGAGTCCCACATCGGGCTCCTTGCTCAGCAGGAAGTCTGCTTCTCCATCTGCCTACTGCTCCCCCTGCTTGTGTGCTCACTCTCTCTTTCCCTCTCTCTCTCACAAACAAACAAATAAATAATCTTTAAAAAATAAACCAACAAAATAAGCCGGTGATAGCACTTATTTTTATGAAGTTACTTGAGATTTTTGAAGATTTCTAGGTGGGAACAAAATTAGACCAGAGCACATGGTAAAGGAGTCAGTTTTAAACTGATTTGATAACAAATGGGTTTGTTGTCATTGATAGTCCAAGAGTAGAACATGCCATCATTATCAGGTGAAACCTCAACTTAGGGGTACACTTTCCCTCCTAGGACTCATGGAATGTCTCATCACAGCTGGGGTTAGTGGCTGTTGAGGCAGAGAATAGCATAGCAATTACATTCTAGCAGGGAGTAAGGGTTTCCACGAGGTCTTGTGCTACTTGCAGAAAGTAGCTCTTTAATAGCCTTCTTAATGTACCAAGATGATACGTTATGACTCAGTTGCTGTAATGCAGAAACTACTTTTATGTACGTATGTATGTGTGTATGTATAAAGATTTTTTATTTTTAAGTTATCTCTACATCCAAAGTGGGGCTTGAACTCACAAGCCTGAGATCAAGAGCTACATGTTCTGACTGAGCCAGCCAGGTGCCCTGGAAATTACTTTTATTTTATTTTATTTTATTTTATTTGTATTATTTTTAAAAGATTTACTTACTTATTTTGAGAGAGAGAGAGTGCAACAGAGGGAGGGAGGGAGAAAGAGAGAGACAGAGAAGAGCAGACTCCCCGCTGAATGCAAAGCCATGACCTTGAGATCACTGCTTGAGCTGGATTTAAGAGTCAGATGTTCAATCAACCCAGCCACCCAGGCACCCCCAGCCCCAAACTACTTTCCAAGTATTTTGTAGAATATTGTTTTGCCTTGGAAGCTAGAGCTTTTGCTTTTGTTTGTTGTTGTTGTTGTTTTTCTCAAAATAAAATAAAGTCTTGCTGAGAACAAACAAGCAGAGTAGTCTCTCTTCAGCCTGTCCCCTGCTTAGAAGTACATTGTTCTCCCACTTGAGCCTTTGGGGCTTCTGGTTCTAAGTGGTGGGGGGGGACATGTTCCCATTATAGACTAACAGTAGAAGCTAACTTAACTATGTAAAGAAATTATCTAAAATGTTGGAGAAATGAATTTTGCATTTATATTCATTTTTATTGTGACTGTTGCAGATTTAAAAACTAGCTGTAGCTTGAGATGCCTTAGCTTTAATGTGGTTTGGAAATGTAGATTAAGGACTTACCTAATAGGCTTCTCTTTTACTAGATGTAGGT